CTACATTACTGGTAAATTGTTCTTGTTCAACTATACAACAAGAAGCAGCCAATCTCCATCTCACAAACTTCAGGAAAGAGCTTAGGAGTCTTCATCAGCTTTTGTTGGGATGACCAGCATCACTGCTGCAGGTTATTCACAGCTTTTTCCACACCTGGCAGCACTGCATTCAGGAGGAGCAGGCATTTCCTGTGGTGGTGGACGCTAAGGATGCACTCTGCTTTAGTGAATCTGAGGACTGAATGAAGGAATGGTCAAGAAATTTCCCCCTGCTTCTTTAGAATTGGCACAATAAATACCAGATATTTCTATACGTTGTACAGAAGCATCTTGCTGCTTCACTAGGAACCAGCCACAAAGCTTGAAATTCCTCAGTGCTAGAAATGAAAGGGATAAAAGGAGACAAAACAGCAAGGCTCTGGCATTCAGTTCTTCCCCTCAAACACCACATCCTGTTGATGGTAGAAACTGAAGTCTTTTAGTTGCCAGAATTCACCTACAAGAAAATCCCACTGCAGTTCTTGAGCCATGTCAGTTATCATCTTGCTGAGTAGACCTTCTCGATGCTCTTCCAACAGTAAGAAAATAAAGGCACTTTCCCAGTTCAAGCTTCAACTGTCAATTGTCACAGATGACTGGAGACTCAGTAGCCACCTCACAGTGAAAAATGCCACAGAACACCTGCAACTATTAGCAGATTCTGGGCATTCATGGGGATCTCAAATTTTAAAATGTAAATCACTGTTGCTCATTATCTTTTAGTAGAGCTAGAGTTGTCATATGCCTCTACTTTCTAACCATTGCCTTTAAGGGATGCTTGCAGGCTCACAACATGAAATAAGGAACCTTTGTTGTGCCTACAGATGCTTTGTTACAGAGTTCCTGCTGGTGGAAGATGTGGTCATGAATGCTTGAAGTAGACAGTGTGCAGGTGAAGCTGGAGGACATGATGACCTGGTAAAAGCCATCTTTTGTCTGTACCTCAAGATCTACAATTGGGAAACTAAGTTGTTTTTCCTAAGATTTTGATGCCAGTTAACACTTATACAGAGCAGCTGGGAATCTTAAGCAAAACTTCAGACAAAACAGCAACACAAAAGCATCAACATTTATAGTAAGATTACCTGGGTAGTCACAAAGACTGTTTGCTTGATGATGCCTAACTTTAGGACACTGCAAGAAAGGAGTAGGGAACTGTAAAGGTCCTGTTCTGTCACCAGGGCACTGCTCCTGATCCTCAGTATCACTGAATAAATTGTACAAGGACCTGCCTTGCCTTCAAAGACACTCCCAGGGGTAACTATAATGCAGGCTAAAACAGAAAAGACGCAGAACTAAGGTTTTATGAAAAGACTGCTTTGCTACATGAAAATAAATAGGAAAAACAAAAACCTATGGCAATAACAAAGTGTAAAATTACAGTGTTATGGAACAAAATTAACAAAATTTTGCAAAGTAAGGGCAGCATATAATAAGCACACACGTATTTTGAAACTGCTGTAGAACTACCTACAATTCCCAATTCTATCTTTTGCTGATGCCTCACTGCTTACACATACGTAGAAATGATTCTTCGTAAGACTTTTTTTTTCCCCTTAGGGAAACAGGAGAGCATTAGAGGTCTGGAAATTATTGAATATTAAGCCTACTTTGGGATAACACCTATTGTTATTCTATATTAGGAACTGCTGCCTGGAACAGATCCAGTAAAGAGATTTATTTTCATCCTTTCAGATTAATTTGGATGTTTCTGGCAACTCTGAGATTTGCAGTGTTTCACATAAACGGAGTGCATGGGGAACATGATAGCTGCACCCAGAATCATTAAGTGGTTCTGGTCCTTTACTTCTTTACAGCAGAACTTTGGCAGCCAGACAAGCCGTTAAAACATTTCTATAGCCAGACAGAAAAAGCACTACAGGAGATAGGAAGCTACATGCTACTTTTGAAAGGAGCAACAGAACATTCTAACAAAAACTTTGTGCATGGGAAAAGGAAAGAGTTTGTATATGCTTAAGACAAGCACTATTTACACAAAATACCATCAATTGAGGAAAACATACTGCTTTGTTACATAGAGTATTCCAAAAAGGCAGGTCAAAGCCAGGCAAATACCTCAGTTGCACCTTGGAAATACATACTGTCCTGTACTGATCTGTAATGATAGGTTATTTAAGATGACAATTCCCCCTGTCTCAAAAGTCTGTTAAAAAATGGAACCAAAGCTTATCCTCAGTATTTCTCTCAGTTTCAGTTACTTCTCTATCAATCTCTGGCCTGCTCTAGCAGTAATATTCTCTTTGATATCGTATCATTGGATTCTCCTCCAGCTGTCTCCAATCTGCACCTCCAGCAGATGGAAGCCACTGTATTGTCAGGAAATGGTTTCTTCCACACAGTCCTCTTACATCAGAGGACTACCTACCATTGCCACCTGCTATTTCTCTGCTCCTACAGATATTGCAAAGCCACCGTTCAGACCTCCTGCTACAGGTTCTCAAGTGATGTGCTGACATCAAAAAGAAGCAAGGTATTCTGCAGCAAAGGAACAATTCAAATAGCCTTAGCAGGGAACTTTTGATTGATTACAATCCAGGCATTGCTGTGAAAGGCCATGTGATGATCAAGCACAGCAACCAATCAAAGCACTTGGAGCCAACTAATTAGCAAAGCTAATCACAGTTTGGCTCCAGAAGACATTTCAGTAGCTAATGGGTGTTTTACTGCATTTCTCTTCTCCCATTTGTCTCTGTACATCAGTCAAAAAGATCCTATTTACATAGTCAGAAAGAATCTTCGGCACTTTTGGTCAATCACATGGAACTAGGGATCAGTTTTCCGTGGCTAACTATGCACGTATGCCTATACTCAAGCAACAGATCTTACCAGCTGAAGTGCAATTTTTGTGGTCTCTGTCTCATCAGAAATGAAAAGAAGACAAACAGTAGCAGCCCTCTGATGTACCTAGACAGCTTCTTTAGATAGCAAATGAGCCTGCAGTTGTTATTACAGCTCAGAAACAGAAGTTAGGTGGAACCAATTTGCTTCACAAGGCATTAAACCTTGCCTGCTGTCAAAAGACTCAGGGAGCTCAACCAGTCTGCTGTGCAGTGAGGATTCCAACAATTGGAGTAAGTCACTTTGCTGCACCTTTTTTTATTCCTTCTTAAAGCATTCCTGATAGAGGACTGGTACAAGGCTCACCTCACATCACCGTGTTTACTAGAAGAGACAAACATTCCCAGGATAGAAAAGCATTTTCTCCCTAACCCTCGTCCTTTCTTCCCCCCCATTATTAAGATTGTAATTCAGATGCTCTTAAACAAAGATTTTTTGTCTGAATCCTAACTTGGTTGTTTTTTTTCATATATCCTTTTCAGAAAAAGAACAAGCTATTACAAGTTATTACATTTTCTGGCTGAGACAACTGCATGAACAGGAAAGCATGGCAGATATCAGATAGAAATAGCAGCAAAAGAAATGGTAACACTTTTAAAAGTAATTCTTAGCTACACGAATGTAAATAAAAGCTCCTGAAAACATTAAAGATATACATAACCATTTTAATAACTAGGTTTACTAGAACTAAAGTGTTGTAGGGTTTGTTTTTTTTCCCAAATTTGTTGCTTGCCTGTGGTCACAATGGGAGTTGTATTTATCACTGTCTCTACAGTCATTCAATTTTCTGTTGCTGGGGGGTTTCCTCCACTGGAAAGAAGATACATAGAAGCACAATTGTAAGTTAAACAACTGGCGTGCATCGGGATAGCTACAAAACTTTTCAGTCATTCAAATTAAAGCTATTTCCACCTGCCACTGCTTCAGTTAGACAGAACTTCCACAATTAAGAACGCTGTGTTAAAACTGTTTCAAAACGCTTTAGAAAAGCTCCAGCAGAACATACAGATCACACATTACTACAGTTCTTTCTGTGTCTTAAGACAAGGTGACTCACTAGGATCACAAAACAAAACAAACACGACCAAACTAAAAGGTACCTTACAAAAGTATACACATTCTCAAAGAGGCACCGCTTTACCAATAAATTCCATACCGTGTAAAAAGCAATTCACATTTTATTTTAAATTGCAATAAACTGTACAAAAATGTTTCATTCTTGCCAAAAATAACAGCAATATTTTCAATCTTACTTCTAGACAAACAACGAACTCTTATTTTAATTTTTCCTGGGTGAGTTCACAAGTAAACAGACAATAAGACTCACTTCTTTTTTTTTTTTTGTCAAACAGACTTATATTGTACTGGAATAAATGTTAATTTTTTTAGAGTCCTTAGGGAATTTCAGTACTCCTACCATGCTTGTTAAAAGCCTAAAGTTGTGTGTCTCACACAAAGGAATGTAAACAGTCAGGAGATTAAAGAGGTTGACTCTTCCAGTGAAACCTTAAACGTATCTCTGTACCACCAACACTCACTTCACACCAAGAACAGTCCACACCATGAGGCCTGTGCAACTGCTGAATTCATTCTCCAAAATGCCAACTGAATGGGCATCAGCCAAAGACAAATTCAAAAAGCATGAAGTCAAATTCTAAGTAACAGAACAGAAACGGATTATACCCTTTTTAACACTTTCAGTTTTTTCTTAACCTATTTCATGAGCAAATATTGTAACAGCCCCATCAGATCTACAATCATCACAACGTATTTTTTCCAAGATGCAGCAAGCAAGCACCCAGTTAAGTCAATCAGATACAGAAAGCACCTCTGCAAAGAACATGGGCTTATTTTCAGACTTGTTTTTGTTCACATAGTATATTTAATACAGACTAACAAAACATAACGTGGGTTATTGACCACAGCTTCTTAAATCTGAGACCTAAAAATGGAAATACAATTGCGGTGATTATTTATTTCAGATTTCCAAGTCTTT